CGCCAATTTCAAAAGCTTTTTTTCCATAGCAAATTTGCAGTCCCATTGAAACACGAAATATTTTTTGGGGGGTAAGTATTTTTCAGTGCTCGCAACTGCATAAGGTCATATGAGCGCGCGGGACACACTAAACATTTTCAGTTGATAGGAAATTTTGATTTTTGCCCGGGTGGCAGCTGAAGCCTACTCTTATCAATAAACACGAAATAAAAACAAAAATGCAACCAAAGTGTCTTTATAAACCTACATTTTACCGACACTCCATTTTCCCGTCCACCCTCACCTTTTCACTAAACACACAAGGTAGAAGGCAGAAGCTCCGAGTTGGTATAATTTCCTTACTCGTTCTTCTCGCCATATCCACAGTTTCACTTCTCCCCTTACCCCGCTCGACCCTCAGCCCAATCCCCACTTTATCCCAAGCCTTTTCAAATCGAGAAAACAAACACTTTACCATCTTTTGTTTCCCCGAGACAAATTATCAGAAATTTGATATCTTCCGTGCCATAGAATAATTTAAATTAAAAAAGAACAAAACCACGCATAGTTCCCGTTGAGGTGTGAAGTTGCATTGTTAGACCTATCGATGTTTTCACTGATAATAATTTACACAGAACCACAGGGCAGATGTGACGCAAAAGTAGATTTCTCTCGACACTCCACCAAGTAGGACTACAATTATCCATAGTCGCCGACAGGAACTTTCAGGTGTCAGAAAGAGAAAAAAACTAATAAGCAAAACAGCCACAAAAATGATAGTCCGCGCAGCCTAATCAAAGGGAGAAACTTAGAGAAACGAAAAGCTTTTAATTTCTCAATCTACATAGTTGAGATTCCAGCCCGCGACATCTGGACAGGTTTGCAGTTGGCCGGGGGGAGGCCGTACTCCTTAAGTTTGTCGTAGAACGTAACAAGGACGTAGGACGGAGGCGAGGGATGTAAGCCCGTGTAATCCTTCACGTTGTCACCGGAGCCACGTCAGGCAGAGCGGGGCTTAGCCGGGCCATGATACGTCTGCCATAAGCCTCACGGTGCCAACGCCAAGACATAATACACAGGCGAGGACATACGATCTAGCGGCTAATAATCTGGCTAAACGCTTCCCCCCTTGCGCGATGACTATCTGGCGAGCCCCGACCGCCGACAATATACAGACAAATGGGCAACTATTTGTTAGTGCTGTGGACGGGCGTCCGCTGCGAGCCCCGTGTCCCCGCTGTGAGTGTTTATGGTGTCAATGTGGGCAAGATTAACGCCAAACGCCAGAGCAGCGCTCCGCCAAAGACGCGCGGATTAGCTTGTGCTTTAGAGCCGGCCGTCAGGCCCGTTTTGCTACTCCTTTCCGTCGACAGAACCGCATGTGCAACGTCATAATCCTGTGTGCGTCGTACAGGTATGATGGAAAAACCTCAGAGAGGACTAAGATGAGGGGTGTTGGATTTTGATTTTTGTTTTGTTTTTATTTTTTCTGTGCACTGTAGTGCAATTGGTTAGAAGCTTGGCCGATACCCTGGAGGTCAAAATTCGAATCTAGGTCGGGTCCGGGTTTTCCAACTTTTTCCAAGAACCATTTTCAGAAAGGCGAAATGTGTGAGGACCTTCACAATCTATACTATTACCCCAGCAGACTTGAGAGCATTCTGAAACAACCTCAATTTCCTGAGTGCAAGCGGCCTTTTATAGGCGCTAAAACACTAACATACTAACAAGATCTTTCGCTGTCTATGGCCGGGTACCCATACCCACCTTGGTGTATTGAGGAAAATTCGTGTAAAGTGCCTTTCCCAAGTACACCACGTCGGGCCCACAGCTTGAACCCCCGAACCGGCAACCTCACGATTACGAGTCCGGTAGCCTAACCACTAGGTCACCGACGCCAGGTGTCCAGGTATCCAGGTGGAAATGGGCACTCACTCGGCAATAGACTTATTTCAGCACCTGTAAAGGATGCTACTCCCCCTCCCTCCCCCATGCCAAACAGTCTACACCCAGTGAGTGAGAATGTGACACAGTGAACTGGGGAAATGCCGCCATAGACAGAGGACTATTCCTTATGTCAGTTTGTCTGCGATGAGTTCTATGCCAACGAAGAGACTGGAGCAGAAAATATACAGACAATGACAGTGACACTCTTTATTCATATCGCAGGGAGAAATTTGTCTTGGTCGTTAACAATGGCAGTAGACGTTATAAAAGTTAGACCTAAAGGTGCACTCACGCAAACGCACAACAACCAACTGATGATGGAGACGATCAGCCTACCAACACTGAAATAGACCATCATGGAGAGGGGCGAGGAAGCGTGGAGCACCCCGTCTTTCTAATACCCCAGTTCTACATTCAAGTATTCAAGTATTCAAGTACGTTGGTACGAGAGTCTACAAAGGTGCTGAAGATACAAACATTTTTGGAGAATAGCCATTGTATTCAGAAACATAGAAACTAACTTCTCACATGATAAAGAACAGGGTTTTGCAACTCCAGTTATGTAAGTCACACCGCCACATGATAATTCATGGTTGAGAGTGGGTGGATGGCGGGTGCTCTGGTGTGGTTTGCTTCTTCTTTCCCATCTAACATCTATCGTCCTTATCCCCCCTCCTTCTTTTTTTTGTGTTTGTTACTCTCTTGTAACACCTCTAATCTTCGGCACTTACATGGCCTTATTGTGCTGCAAGTGCCGTATAACACTTACTTAAACTAAACATGGTTGAGAGTATTAAAGAATAGATTATTTTCCATTTCAATGGACACCACAAACAACGGAATGTCGCTTCGACTCATCACTAATAATATCACATAGCTGTGTGAAGCATCTTGCAACTCCGCTATAAAGCAACCTTTGCGCACTATTGAACTGTCATAGTATAGTATAAGGTTTTACGGCGCTCGCAACTGCTTGAACTGTCAGCGGATACATTCTGTTGGCTATTGGGTGAGAGGATGCTATAGAAACAATCATTGAAAATGCAGTGTCAGAACACTCAAAGCATTTATTTCCACAATTTGTTTGGTTGTGAATTTGATCTACATGTTAACGCAGTCTGATTGTTTGTTGTATTTTTTCCTGGCCGTAATTCATTATGCTCTCTGAGCTATGTTACAACGAACAATTTCTTCTGAAAAGGGTGGCAAGTCCTGTTTCATCAATTTTGCACGCGTGAGCTAGATATCCATCTATCAGCATTGTCAGTTCAGTCTTTGAGCAAGGACAAATGTGTACATAAGTACGGAAATTACACACACACACACACACACACACACACACACACACACACACACACACACACACACACACACACACACACACACACACACACACACTCTCTCCCTGTCTCCCCTCTCTCTCCCTCACTCTCTCCCCGTCTCACTCTCTCTCTCTTACTCTCTCTCTCTCTCTCTCTCTCTCTCTCTCTCTCTCTCTCTCTCTCTCTCTCTCTCTCTCTCTCTTCATTCTCCCCCTCCCCCCCCCGCCACAAAAGAGGCCGGGGTCGGTCGATCAACTCGTCGTGCACGGAATAGGTAGTCGTCCCAAAGAGGAGCGTTTCCATTTACTGAAACGTATCCGAAAAGGAGAACTTAAGTGTTAAGAAAAAGGAAATAACTCTGGGTGTACTGGGGGGATTTATCAGGTGTAAGGACTGTTTGCGTTAATTTGGGAGTTGGCGGACTCTCCGATTACCCCGACAAAGGCCGGTTTGTGAGGCGATAGCCTAAGCAAGTTGCCAAAGCTCTGCCCGAGCCTTTCAGCAAAACCCTCAAAATGTCACCGCTACATCTCCTGGTTCGGTTTACAACGAGCTCCACAGCTTTTTGCAGCTCGATTCCA